AAGAACTCTCTCTCTCTCTGTGTCCAGTACTAACCTGTGAAGTTGGCGCCTTGATGCAGGTACCACGAAGATGGAGCTGGAGCGATGGCGCCACAGGTAAGTAACACTGGCCTCCGCCAGTCTCTCTCCCACTCTGCGATCTACTACCTACCAGCGCCCAGCGTTGAAGACTACAGCTACAGCTATGGCGCCCAGCGCCGAAGACTACAGCTAGCGCTACCACTACTGCCTAGCGCTGAAGACTACTGCAGCGCTCCTCCTGAGGGCTGCGGCTGAATCCTGAAGACTACCTCTGCCTACTGACTCTTTCCTGCAGGGCGGGCCAGTCCTTTATAGTGCTGGCCCGTGCAGGAGGCTGCCCGTGCCAATGCTCCCCTGGCCTAGACCTTGCGGAAGCTTCCAGGCAAGAGCCTGGAAGTTCCCTGGAGTTTCCCTGTAGGGAAACAGGCTGGGGCCTGTAGGCCCTGTCAGAAGGAAGCTTCCAGGCAAGAGCCTGGAAGTTTCCCTGTAGGGAAACAGGCTGGGGCCTGTAGGCCTTGTCAGAAGGAAGCTTCCAGGCAAGAGCCTGAAAGTTTCCCTGTAGGGAAACAGGCTGGGGCCTGTAGGCCCTTTCAGAAGGAAGCTTCCAGGCAAGAGCCTGGAAGTTTCCCTGTAGGGAAACAGGCTGGAGGTCCAGGACGGGCCCTGCAGGGCCCGTGTGGCTGCACAGTATGCCACAAAACACTGCTCCAATCAAATCATGAAGAGACAAACATCTGCCCTCACGAACCATAGCATTACGCATCTTCCATATGTTCCAGAAAATCAGGGCACGTATCGCCTCAAAAACATAAGCCCTGTTCTGGGGCAGTTGCAAGATGGCAGAGCCCAAAAGGATAGAAGAGTCGGACCACAAATCCCCCCACTCCGGGGGCGTGATCTGCCGGGTTCTCCACCAAGCCCAAAAGGAAGCAGAGGTGTCACAGGAAATCCACAGGTGGCGGAGTTCCTCAACAAAGTAACCTCTGCCACATCAGTCACAAAAAGGCTGCCCTTTGCGGGACCTGCGGTACACCAAACTAGCCGTGGGCACCGCATGATGTATGTTCAACCATAACAAAGCAGCGTGCTTTGGCACCGGCAATTGCGGGAGCAACTTCCACACAGAAGCGGACTGTATAGGCAATGCAAAAGGAAAAGACCAGCCAAAATCAGAGGAGTTACTCCAACTTCGAGAAATTTCCCAGTCCAAGTCGATCTGAGGAAGCATCATCCTGTAAGCAAGTTGGACAGTGTGCAAATGGATGTCGACAGAATCCGCGGGACGACAAGGGTCGTTCCAGCCTCAATCTCGCGGATCAATAAGCAACTCGTGTGCGGGAGTCCGCACCTTGTATGGCCAATACGTGGAGAGCGGCTACGTCCCCCACGCCGCGTTCTGACCATGCAGACGCAGACAATCCCTCCCCTTCTCTCCTTCTAAGTCTTGGTAATTCCGTGTTCCTCGCGCATGCATGCACGCTATAAATTTTGGCTGTGCGATTAGTTAGCTCTCTTAACCAGCTGTTGGAAGCTTGAGGTTGCGCGATCAAAGAGGGTCGGCACACGAGCGAAGTAAGAGGTGAGTAGAGCTGCTGGAGTAGGGCGGCCCGAAGAGCTGGTGCCAAACGCGCGGGGTTGACGAGGGCATCGGCAGACTGTGGGCGTGGGCGAACCTGACGGGTGCAGGAAGACTAAGCGGGGTGACGGCTTCGTGGGTTGGTGCGCGACGACGGACTGTCCGCATCGGAGAGAGAGAGAGAGGAAGAGGGAGCTGAGGTTGATGGATGTGGAGTTGCTGTTTCTTTTATCTTTTCTCCCTCCCGTCTCGTGTATATAAATTTTGATTTCAGCTCCGGGTGATTTGCCCGTTTCTGTTTTCCGAAATCTGGACTTGTTTTTTTTTTTGCTCACACTTGTCTTTGCGATTTTCATCTCAAATGCACTGTGTGTGTGTTGCTGAATGAATGGATGTATGGATGCCATGCTTGGTTGCTTGTCTTTCTACCGGATCCGTGCTTTTGCCTTTGTTACTGCCTTTGATGCACTCATGAGTAGGATAGGAATTTTGTGCAGTCGGTAATCCTGCTCTCGTTTTTGCTTTTGATTGGGCTGTTGTGGTTATTGCATCTTGCATGCTCAAAATTTACGGAGTGATTACACAATCAAATGTCTGGCCCAGCGGACGCCGCGCGAGGATGCGTGTAAACGCGATCTGAGTTGCGCATTTACACGTGCCCCCGCGCGTCGACTCGTCAATCCCAAAAAGGACTATCGATTGCAGAAGTTTTGTCTTATTGGATACGGCCATCCGGGGTCCGCGACGGAGCAGTCATCCCGTACGAACACGGGTAAGCGCGACTTGATTTGCGTGGCCTGCACGTGCTCGCACATGGTGATCGTAATCGACACAGACCCGCCCTTGGGCATCTCGCAGATCTGCGATGACATAATGACACACTCAGAGAGCTCGGAGTCGTTGTTGTACGACCCAGACTATTTCACCCCGTGGATAGCGGAAAGCCTCCGACAGAGGTATCCTTGCCTAACCAAGAACCGACTGTGTCCCAGGGAGTTTCACTGTGCCACCACCAGCGACCCCCTGTGCTCTGATTTCCCCTCTCAGGACCACATCCACTACTTCACTCACTCCGGCTTTGTCGTTATCTCCACCAGTTTCCCTCCCTTCCATCTTCTTCTTCCGTATCACCAACTCAGCGTCGTCCCGTGGAAGGCCATAGCCCCATACTGGCCCAGCACGCCTTGGGGAAATTGTCGACGACGCGGAGACCAGAGGGCCCCCGAATCTCGAAGGTCCAATCCGAACGCACGACGTCGGATGCCACGTGGCAACTTCCTATTGCCAGGCTCATCGGAACCCCACCCAACCGGAAGAGACCTTCCGGCGAACCGCCATCCTCGGCACCAATGGCTCGCCCAACCTTGAATGACCCACACATATCACTATGACCAGAGGTGGTCCTCTCTCTTCGCCAAATTGCACTCGTGCCCCCGAAAAACTCTGCCACAGGAGATCTCAGTTCTGACCTGAGACTCCATCCCCACTTTCCCAACAATCCTTGGCACACCCCTTTTCACACTTCCAGGCCCACATCCTACTCCGATCAGGAAGTCGCGCTGGGCGTGAGGTTGGTATCGGAGTCCGACACGTGGCCGGGTTTTAGGATTAATAGCACGCTAATTGGGCGATCTGGCTAATCGAGGGCGAACTCGACCCTGGAACGCGCATAGACGCGACCCCGTTATCACCCGAAGTAGATCAGTTAATCGACGGGCAGCCAACATGAACACTAATGCACAGAATCCGAGTCCGCAGCAGAATGCTAATCAACCAAATCCTAATTAACCCGCCCCACGAGCACAGGCTCCCATGACACCACCTGATCTTTATTTGTTCGACCCTGCACATCATCTTGTTAGAGCATGGTTGGCCACGCTCCGAGCACAGCAGTATGACGATAACGAAGTGCAGGTAAACATTCGTTCTCGATTAGGGGGGGACGCTCATGATTGGTTTAGTACCTACGTATGGGTTGATCTTCCGACCAGGCCTTTGAACGGGATTTTCTGAATCGATTTGATTATGTCCATCCAGAGCAAGCACTGTTCATGATCAAGGACCGGGTATAAAAACCTCTCGAGTCTATCGAAGAGTATCGAAACCGGTTCTTTCGAATGCTTGTGAGGACTGAGTGAGGCGAGCAAGTCGGGAGAGATTTGTTTATCGATGGGCTTCGTAGTCGAACGATAAGGGCAAAGCTGCGAAATCAGTTTCCCCCCATCAATCACACGCTACAACAGATCATGGCCGCTGCAGAAGAGATGGAACGAATGTTTGCGGCGAACTTCCTGGAAGGAGAAGACTACCCTAAGGAAGGAGATTCGTCCGAACTCGCAAGGGCAAGAGCTGAGTTGGCCGCGTTGCAGAACAAGTTCGAGAATATGGGATTTGTATCTGGCCCGGTCACCTATCTGGAACAGATAGCCCCTAAGAGACCCGCCCCATGTGTAATCACGAGTGTCCTTGTTCCTGTGACGCCGACACCTGTAATGACGGCACCCCCGCCACCAATTCAAAACCCTCTGAGGACAAATGAGTCCACTGCCATTTTTGAGCTGACCAAAACGTTAATTAGCCTCATCCAGGAAAGCAAGAAGGAGCAGCGGGAGCATAACGCTCGGTTAGAAGCAGTGTCGTACCCCTCTTCACCGTTCACGGGGGTTGTGAATGGGGGCCGGCCACTGTTTACGGAAAACGTGAACGCCGGTAGTTCACGGAGTTCACGCTGAGCGGGAACTCCG